TAGACTAAAGCGCGTGTGATTAAAGCGCGGTGACAAAACCGCACCATCAAAACCGCGCTGTTGTGGGCGCGCTTTTGACATCGCGGTTTTAGCGCCGCGGTGTTGTCAGCGCGCTTTTGACGTTTGCGGTTATGTCGTGCCACGGATTTTTTTCACCACTACCACCACTGCTCTTCTTTCCTCCTCAAGGGAAGTTTCAGTTGGGTTTCTTGGTTTTGTTGACCAGAGCTGGAGAGGTTGGAATAATAGAACTTTCTCAGGTAAATGGTGCTTGGCTTCCATGGTTGCATTCTTTGATCAAATCCTTGATGTGGAGGACCACCATGTTCAACCCATCATTCTTGTCACAATCCTCCAAATACTCATCCCTCCACGGAAGTGCTTTCTTCCTTCTTATGCCGCCCCCTTATTGACCCTGTCTCTGGATGACTTCCTGTGCCCTTCTCCTTAAAGGCCTCATTCTGTCAGTCTTTGTGGAAAGCTGTTTGTGGAGTATTGCTGTGATTGTCACGATCTCTGATGTGTATAAAAAAGAATGGCTAGCTTCCAGTTCTTTCACCCTTTTCTTCTGCAAGGGGAAATGCTAGTGTTTGCCACAAAAGTAATTAGCATAATTTCCTGGTAAACACAGCACACAGCTTCCAAGTTCCCATTGCTCCACTGATGCCACTGATACCATCCTTTTGACAGTATCTCAAGCCAGCTTCTTTCTCTCCTGCTAAATTCTCTGCCAAAGCTCTCCTATTCCTATTTGCTCTCCTAATTTCTTCCTTTGGTTGTAAACTCCCCGCCGTCTATTTTTCTGAAGAGTGTTGGCCAAGACTCATGAAGCATAAACCTAATTTTGCATGTTTTCAGTATTTTATCTAATCCTGTATGGATTAGACATTTGAGTTTAAAAGGCAAGGCAAGCTTTTCCAAAAAGGATTGCATGTGTATCAGATTGAATGCAGATGTATTTTAACTCACAGGATATACAAATCATTACTTATTTTTTCTAAGATAATTTTTTTTATGCTTCAGATTTTTCCTTCGCTAGATTGCAAAAAAATTGAATAGATCAAGTTGCTACCCAAAGATACTTTTTCAAAAAGCAACAGGACTTTGTTTTTTTCTTGAAGACATTTCACTTCTCTTCTTGGATGAGAAGCAAAACATCTTCATGGAAAAAAACAAAAAAAGTCCAACTGCCTTTAGGACAACCATGGATAACTGAAAATCTCCATAGACATCAAATCACTACAGTAAACCTGATTATATAGCAGGTAAAGGGACCTATGTAGCATAATGAAAGTGAAAAATTTAACAGCCAGCATGTTAACTGAGGCAATTTATGGCAATTGTAACTGATACCTGAAAATATTTCCTTACTTCTCAGGAAAACTATATAGATTAGTTAATGTTTGTACAGCACTTTGAAAAGAGTTGGATATTATAATGTGACCTTTACCGGTGTACTTATTTACTTTTGTAGGCATAAGCATGCTGTCTGAATCTAAGATAGCACAACTTTTCTTTTCAAAGTAAAAATCAACCTTCATTCTAAACATGTTTTTTTCTAAGAAATAAGTACAATTTATTGCAAATGAACATTCCTTTGTCTAAGCAAAGAGTGATAGGATGAATAGAGCAGAAGAATAAATGACTGGAGTAGACAGCCTCTGAAAATAGAATACATACGGTACATGTTTACTATTGATCTTACTCTCCTATTTTAAATTTGTTTTAACTGAGTGCTTATATAAACAGAAAAATTTGAAATACAATTCATGAGTCAAAAAGAAAAGAAAAAGAGATAGCTTAGGCAGAAAATAGACAATACTATTATTCACTATGTATTCTTGACATTAATAATGATCTTCCACTTAATAATTTTTAGTCATTTCTTGATAATGTGAAGTATATCATTTTGTAATGTTAGACTTGCACAAGAACCCAAGTAGTTACTTTATACTGAGCCAGTCATCCATTCTTCTCCAAATAATTGTCACTGACTGGCAGGGATCCTTCAAGGTTTCTGGCAGAAGAGATTTGTACTTGGTGGTGTTAATATTTGAACATGAAAAATATGTGCTGTACAACTGAACAATAATATTCCTGTAAATAAAGACCTGCCTGGAATTAATTTAGTTACAATGAAATTGAGTATTTCAAGAGGTTTGGACAAATTTATTTCTTAGTAAAAGCATTTGATATAAATGGTCAATATTTTTAACAAAAATTATCACAATATTCCTTGTGTCCCAAAACAGACTTATAAAATAATTGAGTATTATTATCTATCTAGATATACAATGGAGCTGTTCTGAGATTGGGATTATAATGGATCCAATGTTTATTTAACTATGCTTTCTTATTTTGTATGCATTTTTTTTTGTTATTTAGGATTGAGTAGTATTCTTGGAACTGGGTATCGTTGTGAGAAGGCATGCAATCCTCAAATGGGAAACCTAGGTCATGGACGTAAATTGTGGACAGATACAACATGTGGATACAACTCCACAGAATTATACTGTTCTTACAGTGAAAATACAGACCTCCTATGCAAGCAGCCTAAGTGTAGCAAATGCAACTCTATGAATACACATCTGGCTCATCCGGCTTCTGCTATGGTTGATTCGTCTTTTAGATTACCACACACATGGTGGCAATCAGCACAAGGAGTAGAGAGGGAGAAGATCCAGCTCAATTTGGAAACTGAATTTTATTTCACTCATTTAATCATGATATTCAAGTCACCAAGACCAGCAGCCATGGTCCTAGAGCGATCTCAGGATTTTGGAAAAACTTGGAAGCCTTATAAGTATTTTTCCATCAACTGCTCAGCAGCCTTTGGGTTGGATGATGACGTAACTAAGAAAGAGGCACTTTGCACTTCAAGATACTCCAGCCATTTCCCCTGCACTGGAGGAGAGGTGAGTTCACTAAGCTATCCATGACAATAAACAATTTCAATGTTGTTTGAAAACTGTAAAGTCCTCCACTTTCTATTTCTAAAAGGTAAAGAAGTTCTCAGTTTAGCCTACACTAATATTACCGGGAAATGTCCCATCCAATTATTAAGCAGGTCCAACTCTGGTGAACTTCTAAATGCCAGACAAAATTGGCCAAATGCTGCCACCTGCATCTGAAACCTTATTTTTAAAGTACTATGTTTAAAAGGAATATGAGTTTTTATTATAATAAATGGAAAGATAAAAAATAAAGATTGTTCATTTGTATTTCTAGGCATAATATTGCTTGCTTAAAGCCTGGTGAACTTTGTTTTCTTTGTCTGTGGCTGGGTATTTTATTATCATTCTTTGCAAGTGACACTCATTCTCTTTAAATGTTGAGAAAATTGCTATAATAGAAAACCAACCTATTATAGGTATGTAGAGTGTACTTATCAAATTCTTCATCTCACACCCTGAATGCCTGACATCAGCCAGCTTCTGACATATCCTTCTGGGATTTCCTGCCATTTTATTCCTCTTTTTTTTGTCAGGAATTCATACTAAAGAAATTAACTGTCTAATGCAGCGGTAGGCTCACTCTTAGTAGCAAAACTGACCAAAACAGATTGGTAGATGTAAGCTTATTTTATTTATTAGCAATAGCAATAGCAGTAGACTTATATACCGCTTCATAGGCCTTTCAGGCCTCTCTAAGCGGTTTACAGAGAGTCAGCATATTGCCCC